GGACTTTGTGGGCATATTTAAGGAAGCCAGAAGGGAAACTTGGGACTCAGTTTTCCATGTTCCCAGACCCTGTTCTAGCCACCCGCCTTCCTGTAGTAAGAAGAAGGGTACATTTTGAATGATTGCTTAGGTGCCAGCTCAAAGAGAGGATTCATTATACAATTCTTGAGCAGAGACTGATGCTTGCCTGCAGCCTGGATTTAGGTACTTTTATCCTTTTGGGGTTGGGGCTTTATCTGCATCCCTCTCTTTATTATTTCCTATCCTGGATATTCAGGATACTGGCTTCTATGACTCCTGTTCTTATGTGATTATATTTACAATTGTAGATTTTGCCTTAGTTCTTGCTATACTTCTCTCGCAAAGCTGAACCTTTGAACATTGATGTGATGAAATACAAATTAATGTGTGTTTTACCCCCAGAAAAAGTCTGGTTGCACTTCACTTACAGTAGCAAAGTGAAATGACCATCCTTGAATTTAAGTTAGTCATTTAAAACCATGTCCCACTCTGGAGCATCAGTTTGCTAATGTGACCCAAAATGAGTAGTCTTATTAACTGTAATAATATAACAGCAGGCAATGAGCAAGGCCACTATTGTTATCTCACCTGTCTGAAAAGCATTTGTTCAGATGTTTTTTCTTTTTGAAATGAGAACACTTAAACAGTCAAAATTTTTAAATCTTAAGTATTTGGACAAATGCTTTGGTAAGAGCATACTGGAGAGCAATGGTGGCTACGTTACAGGTATTTATGTGCTATTAATTACTCAATTTTATCTAGCATATAGATGAAAAAAATAGAGGTTTAATTTTCTGTACATTTAAAAAAATCCCACTCTTACCCTGAAACTCTAAGCGACTCACCTCTACCATTTTTTTCCTGTGATTCCATCAAAATATACTTATGCAATATCCAGTAAATTAGAATGGAATTCAATCCAAAATTGTACTTGATAGTATCTTTTATCACAGAACAATCTTTGCCTTGTGAGCTGTAATGTATAGCTTTAATGAGGTTGCGTGACTTTACCTTATATAAGCTACAACTTTCTGTGTAGCTATAACAAAGAATTGATGCCCAGAAGTAATGTCTGAGATAACATATTTGTACATATTGTCAACTTTATTTGTGTAGTAGGTTTACCTTAAAAGCTTTCTGAATTCTAGAATCAAATTCAAAGAAGTTTAATCTTTGAAATAGAAATGTTTGATATAAGTTGAAAAATATCCATATATATACTTGGGAGATTTCTGGAATAACTTTTCTTCGAAACTAGTTGTACCTGGAGAGCATATATTAAGATTCATCTTGGCTAGAGAAATAGGTATCTGTATGGATCTCAGCATAGCCTGGCTTAATGGATCCAATGACGCTTTCCCGGGTTTGTCTTTTCATTTTGAAATATGGTGTCAGCCATGTCAGGTAGTCGCTTAGACTATCTGGTACTCGTTTTGCCCTTTCTATGCAATCTATAAAGCACTTTGTGTTCATGTCCATAAAATAATTTGTAAAATTGGTGTAGAAATTAAATTTATTATTATTAAACTGTAATTAGCAAGAGTGTATATATATATATATACACAGAAGTATAACTACACAAAAGACTATAATAAAACAATAAAAAAAGAAGTTTGTGCATATAGGCCCTCTTTCTTTTAATGGCTATTGGAGGGTGTAGGGTGAATGACCTGGAGAAAAGGTGATCTCAAGTGCAAGGAAGTTAAATATCAAATAGGGAAGAAAATTAATGCCTGTGTTTTCCAGAAATCTTACATGAGGCTTTGTTGTGGTTTGAACTCAGATGGAGGCAAACACCACACAGCCACTCACTCGCCCCCCCTCTGGTGTGGGGGAGAGATTTAAAAGGATAAAGGTAAATGAGACGAGACTCGTGGGATGAGATAAGAACAATTCAATAACGAAACTACAATAAAATTGAAAATAACAATGATAATAATAATAGTAATATATGTAAATTTAGAAATATACAAATGAGTAATACACAGCGCAACTGCTCACTACCTGATGTCCAAGGCTCAGTCCATTCCCAGCTACTGATCCACAAGCAGAGAGAGTCCTGAAACTGCAGTCCTGAAAATATAAGAACCTGAGGGTCTGAGAGACCAAGAGCCAGGAGAGGGAGAGAATTGACCCAGAGAGTAGAGTGAGAGGGGAAAACTTCCGGACAGATCCTCTATACACTGGGCATGATGTGCATGATATGGAATATACCATTGGCCCATTTGGGTCTCAATCCTAAATCTAAGGTCAAATCCTAAGGCAGGAATTGGGGCTGTGCTCCCTCCCAGCTTCTCCTGCCCCTGCAGACACTGGCACAGCAGAGAAGCTGAAAAGTCCTTCACTGTCCTGGCAGCAACTGTAAACGTCTGTATGTTATCAACTACCTCCTCAGCAAAAATCCAAAACACAGCCTCACACTAGCTGCTATGAAGAAAATTAACTCTGTCCCAGCTGAAACCAGGACAGGCTTTTAATGTGGGAATGCTGAGGATATAACTGTGTATTTGCACGAAACCCCTGGCATTATACTTGACTTTTCTGCTCATTGCAACTATGGAGTATTTGCCTTTAAAAGTATCCCTTTACTTTTATCTTTTCTGCATTAAAGGTTTTACTTGCACAAATATCTGCAGAGTACTCTTCATTCCTTACCCCAGAATTAAAGGAAAAAGTGAGAAATTTTAAATACTTATTCCATTTGGTCAGTAGTTTTAGAACAATTTTACAAAAAAAGAATGTATGTCGTAACTTCCATGTTAAATATCTGAAAATAAAGATGTAGAAAGGTGAACATCAAATGTCCAGACCTTGGTTGCAACTACAAAAGCATTTTGGCTTTGATGGCTATTCATAACACACACAATAGAATGGTGATATAATTGAAATATATGATAAAATATTGGTCTTGTACCTACTCCGTGGTCTACGTTGTCTCTGAACTGTTAAGTGGTGCATATGGGACTAATGATTTTTTTAATAACTTGAGTAATTTGTAAAAAGATGAGTCTGTTTCTTGCAGCAGATTAAAGAGTCTTTTCTTTTTGATGGATTGTATTTCTTATATTACAAACATGAATTCTCTGTAATGTAGGAAAGGTGGATACTAAATATTAAGTTTTAATTTTTTTGTGTAGCATATAGCCATAAGTACTCATTAGCTCCTACTCCAGGATCTCAACAGTTACCAGCTTTGCCACACATACAGCCTAGTGCTTTTTACCACAAATGGTTATACATTTCTCAAACACAAATGTTTCCATAAGGCACAGTATATTATAGGCATAAATACAGATACTAAAATCTATTTTGTGTAGTAATTTGTAGGCTTTCACATGAATTTTGGGAACACTTTTATTAATGGATAATTTCTCAATTATTATTATTATTATTTTAATATTTAACATGTCTGTTAGTAGGAAGTCTTCTATATCTCTTTTGGAGGGGCCTGGAGATTAATTTGTTCCTGTTTCTTTTCCTTTGAAAATCTGAGTTGTAGCTGCCATCCTTCTGGCCAAAGAAGCCTGGGTGGGTACTCCCTTCTGAGCACATCAATACAACACTTTAATTAGCTGGAAGGTTGCTTATTCCCATATCTTCTGGGATTAAAATCGCTTTCAGTGGAAGAGCTTTAATAATGGCCCTCATTTTATGTTGGTTTATTTGGGGATTTTGTAATTAGTGCTAAGATGTTAAAAGCTGTGGATAGAAAATGAGATATTCTAAGGAAAATCTTTTTAATTGTTGTTTTTCAATTTGACAATGATAGCATATATCCTGTAATGTTATGTAATGTCATCCTCTGGCACAAGCATTGAAAGGAAAGAGGAAAAATATGTTTTGTAGTCAGGGATGCTTATTTTCTGTACATTTAATGACATTTGCTATGCGTGTTATTCTGCCGAATCTCACTGTGTTCCGTTAGCTGGCTGATTCTGCTTCTTGCTCTTTGCCTTTCTATCTTGTATGTGTCCCGGAGATGTTGGCTCCTAAGACAGTGGGTTTTCCTGGAAGTAGGCAGGTATGGAGCACCCAAAGCAGTGATTGATTTTGCTTCATTCCATTATGGCTGATTCTGTGCAATAAACTTTCAAAAGAAACCAAAGGCTTCGTATTTTGAAATTAGTATATATATATAATGCAGTCATTCCTTTTAGTGATTTTTCAAGTTTGCGTGATAAATCATCGCTTCGATGTGGTATGCACAGTACCTAACAGAACAGTTATATATAGAATGTGTGCTGTTTGCTTCAGCCATGAATTGATATTGCATTTAAATGTTTGCCGTGAAAAACCTGTTATTTTGTGCAAGGTACAATATAGCTTTTCAGAGGCAAAGGGTCTATTGTTACAGTTTCAGTGCTACGTGTTGTTTATTATATGAAGAGTATTTTTCAGTGGTCTTTCTGTCCTGTAGAGCTGCCTTTCCACAAAAAAAAAAAAAAAAAAAGACCTACATACATGGTCACTGATGTTAGTTATTTTTACAGGGGAGGGAAGGAGGAGGGGAAGATGCAGAAATCCTCCTCCTCTTAGGCAGTAGTAACAGTGTGAGGATGCCTCGTCCTCATTTTTTTTACTTCTGAGATTTTATTGCTGGCAGCCAGATGTGCTGAAACTCCTGACGACAGCATCTATTCGCTGCGTGTTTTTAATAGGCTTAGAGAAATATGAGTCGAGTACATGAAAGCAGCTCAGCTTCACACTTCGGATGGGAATGCCCAAAAAGCTCACTGCTGTTTAGAATTCTTGCTACAGTCAGGAGAAAGCCGCACGGGTACTAAACCTTCTACGACTGAATTAGAAGAATAATGACTGTACAATTAACTATCAGCCCCTGCTCGTTTAGGTACAGTTTTTACAGAGATCAGGAGAAATATGGAACTTGATTGGCATGTTTGCATTTGATGGTGTGTGCAAAATAAATGACTTTTAAAGACAGGTGGTGAAGAAAAATAGAAGGGAAGGAAAGAGAGAAAATGCAATTTGAGACACTGCGCCAGGTCTGCAATTCTGTTTTATCTCATTTTCACGGGGTTTTCTCATCCCCTCCAAATATTTTACAAAATGATCTTTTTGGACAAACGTTGAACAACACTAGGTGAGTAGAAAAGAAACATTTTTTGCCTTACCATTTATATACTTATGCTACTAGTAATCTATCTGCATGTTTGTCAGTGGGGTACTTTCATAATTGCACTCAAATATTAATATTTTTATGGTAGCAGTGAGTCTCTTCTGTTGGTGTTTTTGTTTTATGTAAGGATTGAAATGAGAACTCGGTGTGCAGAAATAAAGACAGCAAAGGCAGAATGAAATCTCTGAAATGGTTATGTATTTTTCAAATACATTAGCTGCCATTAGAAGCTGGCATTATTAGCTGTAATCCTTAAAGCATATTAAATATTCATGAGCAGATTTGAGAAAATGATTTCTGTGTGGATGTGGCAGTGAAAGGATTAAATGCTCAGCGATGTGTCTGTTTAACCACGCATAATTCGTTGGAAGATGTAAATCGGTAGTCCTGCAGACTATTTGCAAAAGAGGCAGAAAGCAGTTTTTTATTTTTAGAAGGCTTGCATTCTGTGTGCGATGCTTTTCAATGATCTTTTTAACGGGCCAAATGAGAGCTGACCAGGGGATGCTTTGCAGCAGGTCAGTCAGCTCTGTAGGCTCTCCTTTCATGAACAGCTATTGTTTTGTGGGAATTAGAAATCAGAGGGAGAAGTTGTTGTTTGTTGGTGCGAGATGGTTATTAAATTGGTTTCTTAGGATTTTTTTTTCTGGGGTTAACTGAATTAAAGATGACTCAATTTTTTGTGGCATTCAGTAAACATAGTACAATACTGATGTTTAGAACTTTTTCGTGCTGCTATTAAATATTAACAGTGAAAATAATTAAGAATTTTGTCTAAAAGAGCGTGAGTGCAGATCAGGGAGAAAAGAATCCTGTAGTTTTTAAGAAAGATAGTGCACTGATGGAAACATTCTGGAAAAAGGGTGGAAGTACTATTGCAGAGACTATATCCAGCATTTTAATCTTCTCTGTGTCTGTGGGAGAAACCCCTTTTAAATGGGATATTATTTCTTAAATGCAGAGATATCCGTACTTCATAGATAAAACTGCTATCATTTTATTTCCCAGAATATGGTTCTAAGGCTCCTCTCCCTTACTGCTGGTGTTTCCTTTATAAATATTTTAATATTTGTTTAATGTTACTGCTTTCAAGTTTTGATCTCATGGTTATGGATTTCTAATTAGCCATGCAAAATTATGGAGGTAGCTTTAGCCATCCTGATCACTTAAATGAATTAAGATTTTTTTTAGATATAGATCAATGAGATTTTTTCTTACATCCCTTCGGTGTACTGTGAAATCTTGAAGCTCTACAAAATGGAGCAATAATTTCAGTGTTCCCAGCTGTGATTGTGAAGCAGTGCGTGTTTCCAAGTGCAGAGACCCAGGCCTGCAGCAACCATCAAAGCCCTTAGCAACTGCTCTGATCAGCTGCAAACCAACTCCTGGTTCTCTGGGTCTGCTTTTGCAGCTCAAGGTGCTTACTTTGTGTTCATTTTTTTTTACAGATACATGGGCATGGTGCTTTTAGGTGTGTGTGCTGCTTGTAAGGCTCTGGCAAATGCTACATATGGTATCGGTTTCAAATCAAAAGACATCAGAGAATTATTTTATTGCATTTGTTGTGCCTGAGATTTAGAATTATATTTACTCTAGAAGACTGGCAGACAAGAAGGGATTGTTAGGAAACCCAACCTTCTACCTATATGGGCTGTCTTAGGGTGAGAATATTTCTGTATTTATAAGGAGCAGTTTCATGTTTTTCTATGTACCCATGCTTTTGGCCTTGATAAAACATTCTGCGATTCTTCAACAATATGCAGCAGGAGTCACGAGAGACTTAAGTCATGCTTTCTGTGTCTTCAGAAGTTAAAGTTAGTTGAAAGTTATTTAAGGTTATTGAGTAAAAAGATTCTGTCCTCTGAATAAGTACCAGTATTTTAAATCTGATCTTGATAAAAAGGCTTTGAAGAAGTCATCTACTGAGTAGACAATAAAAGTCTTTCTGACATTTATTTCGGAGGCTAGTCCTCTTTGTTGTCTTACTGATTTAAAAAATTCTATTTTATTTTTTCCCAATTAAATCAATGCAGTGTATATTTTAGGTAGATTTTTCACTTAAAGCTTTGTACAATTGATGTAACGCACTTGCTAAAAAGGAATTGTTCATGCATTAAGAGTTAATGCTTCAGAACTGTGGTAAGGAAAACAAAAATACCTCTAGCGTGTCACAGATTCTGCTTTGATGAGGTATAATGTAGTTTTTCTCTTTGGACCTTGAAGATGAATATTTTGTCAGACTGAAGCAAGATGGTATTTTTTCTTTTTATGGTTTTGCTTTCTGTTTTTACATCTAAGAAGTAAAAGTCAGAATCCAGAAAGATAACAGCTGACACTAAGCACAGAATGGTTAATTGCTGCTTATACAAATTAATAATGTGAAGAAAACAGTTAATTCATACTAATAGTATGGTAGATAATGGAATATAAACTAGAAAGTCACAGGGAACTAGGTTGTATGCATATAACTGTAACTGTAAATACATTCTATTAATTTTCACATGATCTGTTCCTGGAGTTTTTCAGTTCTTCTGAAAGTTTGGATATGCTGGGATTTGATTGCAGGAAAGCCAGTTATCTCAGCTTTCGCTTTGATTGATTTTGCTGTTTAAATGGGTTTCGTTATCCTCTGCTAACAGCTTCTGTTGGAGGAATATTGCAGTTGGGTTCTCTTTCGCCAGCTACTTGGCAACACTCTTCTGCAAGACACTACGGTGAGTGTAAAGGAGGTAAGCTGGCTTCCCAGGCCTTCCTCCTGGTCTGGCACGTCTCTGTCTGACACGACCAACCCCACCCAGTTGGAGCAGTAAGAGCTACGACTTTACTTCAAAATTGTGTTCCACCTCTGCTGGGGACTGTAGCGCTATTTCCCGTGGAATAGGTTCCTTTCTGTTGAAAAATGATTGGAATTACCTCATGTCAGGAAGTCGCAAGAATTGTTTAGTGTTCTTAGCGTTTGGCACGTAGCTGGTTTGTAGAATAAAGTCTTCATGTGTCTGGGAAAAGAAATCTAGGAGATCTTTTCTGAAAACATACTCAGTGTTTACATTACATCAGAATTCTAAAGCAGCATCTAAAAGAGCTTCAGCTTTTTTTAAGTCAAAAATTTTTCAGATGACTTACAGTGACATACTTTTCAAATAACTCAGGACAATGAAATAAAGTTTAAAAGGTATTTTAAAACCTTTAGTTATCAGCTAAGACAGATTTTCTCATTGCGGTTCTTCATTTAGAGTGTAGTGTATAAATAACGTGCTGTCAGATGCTCTCTTTGGAGCAGCATGCTTTGCAAAGTCCCAGTTGCTTTGGGCAATATTCAGATGAACACATCACTGCATAATGGCGAGTATCCTTTGTGACTAAAATTAATGCAAACTGTACGGAGCAGCATCAGGCCAGTTTTACCATGGCGGTATATATTAACAGCTTTTCTTTTTTTCTTTGGAAAGCAGTGGATTTACCTAAACCTGGTTTCTCCCATGACACTCTGTTATTTCTTTGTTACAGCTATGTTAATTTGTTGTCCAGGTTGGCCACACAGGGGCATAAGATAACTAATATATTCAGACCCAAAATAGTACAAAGGTTGTTCACAAATTCTGTATACAGCAGAGACTTAGGGATGGTCCTCGATTTGAAATTAGACACAGTTTTAAAAAGTCAACTGTATTTTCTGTCATTAAATTAAATCCTAATATTTCTAACAGTTCTTAAGAGTTTGCACTTTTTCAGTCCCTTAGTAAGCATCTTGTACATAAATACATTGATTTTCAAAAGGTTATTAAAATACTTATTAGCCTGTTCATGAAACCATATTATTTACACAGAAAATATAATTTTTAGCAGAAAAATATTATTTCTTTTCATTATTTGATTTTCTGTTTTGTTGCCTAAATATACCTATGAGCTATTTACTAATGCTCCATTTTATAATGAAGCCATCGCATGATGTCAGGAATTACTGGCAGAGACAATTGTTATTTGTCATGGTTCAATTAATGATTACTTTGACATTGAAGGAAAAAGATAATTTCCTATTCCTTGTTGGGAAAAAATTTTGTTGAAATATTTCTGTAGAATGGATTTGAGGTTTTTGTTTCTGACTCTGTATCAGTTCAACAAAACAAGGGATTTTCTATAATTCTAAGAGAATGTTGTGTTTTCAAATATTATTAGTTCAAAAGCCAAGGATAAAAACACTGATGGCTTTAGAACTGATAGTATATTGTCCATATTCTGACATGGAATAGTGAATAATAAATGAAACTGCCTCTCCTCACTTTCAAAAACTAGCTTGTCTATAACTCACTTGAAGAATTTAGGTTTTTGGGATTTTCACACCTGCTCTCTTTTTGCCTCCATACTAGGTTAATATAATCCAGTCTTAAATAATTTCCTGAAATTTGCAGCTGTTGTGCTTTCTCAATTGAAAAACCATTCAATGTTGGAAAAAAATGCAGAACTTCTATTTGTTTTCCTTCTATATATTTTTTCCTTAATGAGTTAAAGGCATAGTAAAGCTATTTCCCCCCTGGTTCAGACCCAATCAGAATTCTAAAACTGAGCTAACACCAGCCCTATTCTACTTCAGAGAGGTTATCCGTGTTAAATGATCCTCTGTCTTTTTTCTTTGTAAAAGTAGAAGCATAAGCCATATTCAGGTGAATCCCTATGTGCATATATATGTGTAAACATACATATATATGTATATATATAAACTTCTGTAAAAGATGTATATAAAGGCAGAGAAAGACTCTTAGAGCTATACTTCCTAGTATTCCATGAAAGACATCTCTTGAAACAAGGAGAGGAAAGAATTTTTTTAACTTCCTTTTCATTCTGTAAGTAATTTCAAAAATTCAAATTTTTGTTGACTACAAAAGTAACCCCAAGCCAACACAGAAGTGCTGGCAGACAGCAAGCATGAGGGAGATCGGTGATGAATTTAGTGACCACATTTGGTC